ATGTCGAAACATTCGAAACCTATATTATGTAGGCCCCGAGTAACTCGTTTTAATTGTATTACAAGTTAGTTTTTCATATATTTTCATATGATGATAAAAGTATTTTCTTTTTAATTTTTGTTATTTTAAAGCCATTTTTTTCGTTTTTTAATTACATTATTTTGAATTTTTAAGGTATAAAAAAGTTTCGGGGGTATTTCCAGTGCATACGATTCCCGTGATTAATTATAATAATATTATATAACTTTTGAATATTTAAAAAAAAAAATGTGAATATTATTGTTATTTAACGATTTTCAAATAATTAAATTGAAATAAATTTTGGATAAGAACTTGTTAAAATGTGCAAAATTTTGATAGTAAAATGTTTCCAGTGAAAATGCGTTGTAAAAATATTCTAGTATTCTCTATATATATGTGTAATTTAAAAAAAAAAAAAAAAAGTTTTACTTAATAAAACAAAAATATTGAATTTACGTATACTATATGTATCATCTATATGTGTTCCGCACGAAAACGTGTCACCGGTGGCGAATTCAATTTATCCGGGGTCAGGGGTTCGTTTGTTTATGCTGAAGCTTCGGAGTACTACAACAGAGTATCTTAAACATATTATTTGATATTCGATATGACAGGTAAAACGAGATTATGAACTTAATCAATCACTTTGAAATTATAATCCATAATAACCACGCTGTTTCGTTGTTCGAAATAATACTTGTTATACAACGGTGAAATCAAAAATAATTACATTTTTATTACACCTAATAAAATTCGAATAACAATATAATTGTATTACATAATTTATTAATATTAATAAAAAAAAAAAAAAAAAACAATGTTTGAATCATATTAAAACACAACGAAAAGACTTTGAAAATATACATTTTCGAGAACAGACTGTATGCGTTTAGATTATTTTCTATAATAACTAGAGATGAAAATATATGATATAATATATAATATGTTTAATATATTATTATTATAATTACTACTTTTGCGTTTTAATCTCTTTAATCCGTTTCGTATGGCCTCAGAAAAAAATTCGTATCGTGCTTATATATATATTCGTTAGATTCAGAATAATACGTGTGCACACATTTTTTTATATATGTTTAACTATAAATTATTTTTTAAGAAATTTTAAAGAATATAATAGTAATATAATAATTAACCATTAACTGATTTAAATAAAATTTAAATTCTAATTGATAAAATAATATTTTTAAGGAAATAAAACGTTTTGATCGTTTACTAATAAGTTTGAATTTTTGACGTATCATAATAGGTTTTTCACAAATAATAAATACATTTTTAATGATTTTGAACGCATTTTTTTTTTTGACGGCTTTTGGGGTATTGAGAATACATATTTTTATTTTTGGAGGGGAACCATCAACATAATTTCTCTCAATACTAATAACTAGACAATTATTATTGGTTTTTATGTATTATTTTTTTCAAGACGCTCTGCATATAGGATGAGTATTATAATATCATTTCATACAAAAATTATAGGAGTATATAGTATTCATGCATGTGTGTATATAATATTATTATGTTTATACAACTATGGCATATACGGATATACTTATCGATGTATAGGTAATACCTATATGCATTATAGGGCCCGCAAAGTCGGACCACAACAAAAGATTTAATGGCGACGGACGAGCTCATGAGGGGGAAGGTGGTTGAGGGGAGGTGGATTTGTTGAAATAAAATACGGAAATCCGGAGACTCGGGTACGAAACCGTTGTCGCGTGGGACGAAAGGAATATATATATATAGGAGTAAAAAAAAAACTATTAGGCGACTGTTATTCAGGTCTTGTTCCGGCGCAACAATCTTTTCTCAGTGACATTATTATTTTCTTATTCGTCTACCATTCCCCTATCTTCCCATACCCCTGGTCTAGTCGCGTTTTCCTCGCTATTTTCCCTGTCTTTTTATACCTCCTTTAGGTCGACGGTGCGCTGTCGTTAAAACGTACACTGTATACGTCGTATACATATATATATATATATATATATATATACCTATGTAGTGGAAAATTGAATTCGGATGTGTCTTTTTCTATCCGTCGCGTTGTTCAATAGACTTTGCTAGTTCTTTCACGCTAAAAATCATACGTTTTTACGATGTAAAAACGTCAGTGTATAATGTGGGCTATACGAAGAATAAATCTAATTTTTTTTTTTTTTTAGGATATACTGATGCATAATATCATATGAGCAAAGACTTTGATCGGACCAAGCGACTAGCGACTGCAGCCCAATTGGTAAATACTGCACTCTTATACAATTTTTGTTTATTCTATTCCATTTTTGTCTAATTAAATTACTTTCCTATCTACTGACAAAAAAACCACGAAAAATTGTGACGAAATGTTTATTATAATTATGAACTATATTAACACTTTTATTCTTACTCTGGAGTACTTTTTGAAGTAATTGTATTATTTTTTCCCGACGAAGCGTGTCCCGGCAACTTTAAAATAAAATCATTATTGATACATTTCGTTTTGAATTTAGTTATGTTTTTATGTTAAACACCACCGACATAATCTAGTCGGAAACGTATTCGTTTATTTTATTATTAATTCAAGTACAGGAAAATTTATATCTTAACAATGTAAAAAAACTCATTAAATGATAATGAGCTTCAAACCATTTCTTTATTATTTATGTGATTTTAATATGATTCAATATTTTAAAATCAGTGATTTCCTAAAATATAAGGTAAAGAATAAAATTAAAAAAATAAACTACAGCCGACTACGATACGTTTTGATGAGTAGAGTCATACCGATAAGTCCTGGTACGTCCTGGACGGGGTAGAAAAGTAAAGGTACCACAAAGTACCTACTATTATATAATTGCATCATCGAATTTTGTAATTAAAAAGAAAATAATAAAATATCAAATTCAGACTAAAAATACAAACATTTATTAAATCTTATAAAAAATATCGATAACTGACAGTATATTTTTTTAGTGAAAATACACTACGTGTTCTCTCCCTGGGAAAAATATTCCGTGAGTAAATTGACTAAATCGTAAATAGCATAAATCATAAATGTATGTTAGTTAAATCTAAATTATTAATATATTTCAAAAAATAATTTTTATAAAGAAAAAAACATTCACAAATGAAACATCAATATAGAAACAAGAAATACTTTTTTAAGTTTACTTATGTTTGTTATTAACTGGTGCATTGAGGTTAACTCCATATTATATCAATATACTTAATAAATGCCTACATAAGATTAATCGAAATTATATGGTTTTATAGTTACGAATAATTAATTGTGGCAATTTTAAATTAGAAATGTATTGCTTTAAGTAAATTAAACGAGATGGATTCAAAAATAACATTGCCTAACCTATAATGAGTGTAGTAATAGCAATAATGATGTCAAATCGATATCGGAGGGCTTGTGTGGCATCTTCAATAGTTTTGGCAATCTCCCTCAAAAATACTTTGCCGATGTTGTTATTTTATTTTTTGTTATCGATTTCCAAGTGCAAAAAAAAAAATCGCCTTTTATAAAAAAAAAATAACGCCCGGAGAATCGGATACTTCCCCCGAGAGTTTAAAATAATTTAATATCTGCAATGTTCGAGTATCTGTATTTTATTTTTTACCACTTTTACTACTCAGGTGACGGGAACAGTTGGCAGAATTTAGACCTGTACACTTATTTATATTATTACCATCACAGGAAGCATAATTATATCAACTACTCATTTATACATTTTGTTTTGTTTTGTTTTTTTTTAACTTCAATACTCGTTAATGGTTAAATTTCTATGTACAGGATGATCAACGTAAATGTGACGTAAGATATTGATTATCTAAGATTATATTGTTAGTTAATATAGTATTTGTTGCTAATAGTATTCACTTTTTTCATATCTTATTTTCTTAGAAAATGTTAAACTACCAATATAATCGACGTTTTTTTTTTTCAAACGAAAATCTATATTTAAAATTGTATAAACAGAGATAATACAAAATCATTTGAATAGTAACATAGCGTTTAAATAGTAAGTACTTCATAATTATCTCCCCGTACTAAAACTTGAAAGTGAAATATCTCGTCAACGGGTTAAAAAAAATTACAAATTATAACACAAAAATCTATTAAAAATAAATCTTCATCAATTTATGAAATTTTTTAATAAAGGTATTATATTTTAAAAAGTAAGGAATGGTTTCACTAACAAATAGAAAAGTGTTAAAAACAACGGTAATGTGACGTTTTAGAGCGGCTTGTTTTTTTTTTTTTTATTTTTCTGTAAAACAAATTCCAAAAAAGATAATTGTTTCCGAGATAATGTGCGTCCTACGTTATTTATTGATCACTCTGTATAATATGTAAACAAAAAATATTAAAATTACTTGAAATAATCGCACAGGTTCTATTTTTTATTATTATATTTTTTATTAATATACAGTACTACTGTAATATAGTTGGGTTTTGAATATATTTTTCCAAAATTGAGTCGAAAACTAATATTATAAAAACGCCACCATATTGTATGGTAGGTCACATTAAAATTTCAATAAGAATAAAACTATATAATATACGGTACATTTTGTAATATATGTAAAAACAAAAAGAAAATTGGAGGTCATGTAACTGTGTACGTTGTATAATATTTATTGAAATTGAAAAAATGCTAAACACACGATGCATGGTGTTTTTCATTTTCTTTTCCTTTTTGATGCAGGTGTAGATGGCTGGTATCTGATTATTATATTTTTTCACATTTTATATTTTTATATATTGCATACATGCATAAAACTTTAACAGATCTTATATTAAAATATTTTAAGTTATAAGACCTACTCGGGTAGATTATAAAGATTATTATACATTTATCGAAACTATTTTTTTCCCACTACCGTTAAAATTAAAGTTTATTATGCATTTAAACAAATCCACAGGTTATTTTTATCGGTAGAATAATATTATTATAACATGTGCATTATTATAATATAGTATCTACCTCATATTTGCCTCTTGTCCATTGTTTGAAATTAGATAGTAAGAATACCTTTTCCATCAACAAAAACTGGAGGAAATCAGTTACGTTTCCAGGAGAAGCTGAGTGAACTACAGCCTCTGTAAAACAAACTATAGTATAAAAAAATAGAAAATTAATTTTCCTTTAAAGTATTTCGAAATTCACGTTGAGTAAATTCAACTTCATGTGTTGGACGATTATGAGGAAAGACCGGATTTAATTGCAATTAAAACACACAAAAATTGCATATTAAAATTATTTAAAATAAAAATTACGTAAAAATTGCATAATAAATTTCACTATAAAAATGCAAAATGTATATAAAACAAATTAGATAAATGTTACTTAAAATGTATGATAAATGTTTTTTAAAATTAAAATTGATAATTAGATACATTTCTAAATGATTTCCTTTAAAATTAAGTATTCATAAAATATGTTTATACTAAGAAAAACTACGTTCTACGTCTACACTAGTTATTGGTGCATATTTAAAAAAATTTAATAAAGTAGGCATTATATTTAAATTAACATTTAATTTACCTGACATGACTTCATAGTAAGACTTTAAAATGTTATGACCTTCATTTTTTCAATTACACACATATATTTTTCTTTAATTTTTTCCCCATTTGGACCGGGAATATTTGTTAAAATATTTCAATTTTTCTAAAAATATCTATGCTTTTCAGTAGTTCACTATTAGATTCTTCCAAATTTTTAAGATTCATGGATAACTCGGATAAGTGTAATTTTATAAATGCTAAACCACATTTGACTGCATTAGTTTGTACAAGCTGTTTCAACTTTTTTTGACACTTGTAGCATTATCTGTTAAACTTTCAATCACGTTTTTAAACTCTTCAAAATTATTTGTATAGAAAAGTGCAGCATTTAACCATGTTCCCTTATCTTGCAATAATAGGTTCGGGTAGTAAGGGTATACCCGGCATTTCTTTTTTGTATTTATTTACTCTTGATGGTGTTTTTAGGAAAGTTTTTTTTCTTGAAATAAACGATATAAGTTACATATGTATTTAAATTTTAAATGAGTACTTAATATAATACCATTGTTAATCACTTTGTAAATGTCGGCATACAATTGTCGAATTTTCTCTAGAACTCTATTAACTGTGTGCGCTATACGTGTAATATGAATTAATTTTTCTGCTTTTATCATGTAAGTACCAGCATCACTTATAAAAAGTAATGCTTTTTGTTCAATACCAGGAAATATTTCTAACGAGAAATTAATACACTGCTGACAAATAGTTTCATAATTGGTGGATTCAAGTTGTTTACATGCAACTAAATATTATTTTCTAGGCCTCCCATCTAATTTACCAATTAATAAATTTGCAATAGTCCAACCTAAACGAAAATAGTATATTTTATTATATGAGAAATTAAAAAAAAATATTTATACAAACCTCTTGGATCGGTTGTTTCGTCAACAATTATGTAAACGTAATTGTTTTCAATATCACTAATTATTTGATCCATAACGCATTTATAAATATTTGGTATGTAATTTTTTCTTAAAGTGCTTTCGTCCGGAATTGATTTTCCAGTATGTTTTTCTAAAAATGATTTTAACACACGATAGCCCAGCTTATGCAAAGGAATATTTGTAGCAACAAATACATTAAATAAATCTTCGAAAAAAAAAAAACATTTTTCTATTCGAATTTTGAGAAGTAATCAAAAGCTGTTTTTTTTGTCTTTATTCCTTTGTAATGAATTTATGTGTTATATTAAAAAAGAATATACATGTATTTTTTAATTAATATGTAGTATATTACGAGTAGTATGAGCATAAAATAAAAAACTTACTTCTTTCGGCATGATGATCTAATAGATATTTTTTTTCAGTAGATACAAATTTATTACATATGGGACAATATATAACGTTTTCATCTGATGCAAATACTTCTTTATGTTCATTGTAAAGAGCAATCCAATTGGAAATTTTACTTTTTAAAGTTGATTTTATTTTAGACATTATGTCGAATACGTTCACAGGTAAACGCACACGAATCGCTGTACGTTGAATTTAATTATCACCATATACATATCGACGCTTATCGCTTGCTGGGTTTTTCAAGAATCTGGAAAATTCCAGACGAACGATAAACGCCTATGATTTAAAAACCTGGGACAATTGCAATCAATTGTAAAAATGTTGAAAATTGTAAAAAAATGCATTTTTAATTAAATAAGTAGAATATTTTTAGTATATATCGGCTATATATTTAATCAGATCTGATTTATCTTTATTGCAAAATAAGTTGCAATATTAATTAGATCCGGTCTTGAATTATGAGTTATGACTTTTTGATATTATTATACATTATTATTGATACATTTATAATACTCATTTTGTCAACTACATTTATCAATTCTGTATATATTACTATCCACTACTTTAAACATTTTGTCATGGTTTGAATTAATTTTATACCAAGACATACTTATTCTCTCTTAAAATTTAACGGGTTTGTGACAATGTGTATAAATTTATTTGTAGACTTATAGATGTACTGAGTACTCGTATGTTTTTATTATTATTGTCACTTTATTAGCAATATGATTACGAAACGTAATAATAATTTAGCTATTAATAATACGTAGACAAAGTAAAAACCTCGGCTTTTTCGGCAAAATAGAATTTGACAAAATAGGATTCGGCCAAATGCCAATTTGCCAATTTTTTATCAATCCGTATAAAACTGGTTTTTTTGTCGGCGAAATTGGATTCGGTAAAATAAGTTTCGGCGAAATGGGACTACACGTTCTTAGATACATCCTTGGGGGAAACAAACACAAAATTACATTTATTTACCTAATATAATTCTGCAATTTCAACTCATCCTTATTGAATACATAGTTTTAAAAATATATTGACATGCAATATTAATGTAGGTGGGAAGTTGAGAAGGTAGAATATAATATAGCGTAATTTAATTTAAATATATATTTTACAGTGACTTTAAATTAATTACAAATCAAAAAACCACATCTGCATTATTGTTTTAATCGCAACACCTATATATATTATAAATTGCCTTTACTTAATTTGCTAAAATCAACAGTAAATATAAAAATAACCGAAATTTACTCACTGTTAAAATAATGTGTTAATAAAAATTAATTTTAAATAATTATAGCTTATACTATAATATTAATATATTGTATAAGTGTACCTATTTCAATTATTTTGTCTCTCATTCGATTAAAATTTTCAATATCCCCCCCCCTCACATAACACCAATTATAATTTTGTTCACAAACTACGGAAACAAAATATTTATATATACCACATATATGCGTGAGTTATAATTGATATTATTTTATTATTCACTAAGTCTTCACCGTGAGTTCCATTAGCAAATGCAACAGATTTTTTTTTAAACTAATTCTACAGTTTGTTTAGTGAACAATAATAATAATGGAACATAATTTTACAAACGAGTATTAACTATCATTTTAACGATGAATATTTGAGAGTATAAAAATAATTCAATTTTTAATAGTGTTTATTTATGCTGTAGTATCATATTGAATATAAAAAAATGAAAAAAGTTTTCCATCGGGAATACATTAATTGGTAGGCATACATCTATACTATTCATATAAAAATAGAAAATGTTTTAATTATTATTATTTAACTCGTCTAAGAATTTAATAATATGCAGACTAATAATTTGTAAACATACCCTACCCCCGTTACGATTCATACTTCTTTAATTATTTGCATAAGACGTGGTATTTAACTATACCTTTCCTTAAGTTAGTATAATCGAATTTTAAAATAGATTTAGGTAAAATCGATTTTGTAATTATAACCGGATGGTCATTATTTTTTTTTAGGAATTTTATATTCTCTTTTTAATTAAGACAATAATTTTTTCCTCTTTTATTTTGATACCTAAACTTGTATTATATTTGGCAATGCGAATTAAATATTATACGTGTGCACGATTGACATCGTATCAATAATTTCGTTTAAAAATTTGATACTGTCCTATTACAGCGGTGTATCTGTTTAAATTACTATAATTTTATCGTCTATATTTTATACGATTTTAACCATAACCGTTATTATTATTATTATTATTAAGAATCGAGAACAAATGGCAAAAAAAAAATATTATTTTTTTTTGTTTGTCCGTATACAAACTTTGTAATATAGCTTTTATTTTGTCCCAAACTAAATTTTTATACCTACGTGTTTTAAATTATTAGGTATCTATTTTATATCTCAAAAATGATATGTCCTCGATGTTTCAATAAATTTAAATCGCACTTGACTTTTGTAACGAAGAAATCAGAATGCTATTTTATTGGAGGGGGAAGAAATTATATGACCATTAAATACATGTTGAAAAATCGTATTTTTTAAATACATTTTATGGCAGTATCTCAAGCATTACTTGAGGTAGAAAACAAATTATATTAGTAAGTTATTTGAAAAAAAAAATAATAATAATAACAGATAAAAGTTTAGGATCTTCCAGACAAATAGGAAAGTCTAAAATCTAAAAATGTCATGATTTGAAATTAATGTCCGTATATACGTTCGTGAAATCGAACGCTGATATTGTGGATCTTTAATAAACCTACCATAGTTCTTTCCAATATTTCTCCTGAAATCACATCAACTTCTGTTTGAATCTGAAATTCCAGTTTATCAACTGCTGTAAGACAAGTTATGTATACTCTTTTTATGAGGTGACCTCATAATAAAAAAAAATCTCATACCATTTATTAGATGATTTTGTGGGCCTATATCGTGAATAACACGATTACCAAAGAATATGTTGAATAGCTGCCATTGACAGTCTTGCTATGTGCGCAATTGATTTTCTGATGGCTTTCACTCCTGCACAATTTAAATTTTGCAAGGGTGATAACACTGATAACTAAGTTATAACTTTTTGTCAACATTTCAAATCTCAACAAATATTTTTAACTAAATTATAATGAAAAAAAATAAAAATACAAATAATAAAAACTTTAGTTTTGTAAATTTTCTTGTTCTTTCTAACTTTATTTTCGGTTTTGCTTAAATATTTGAAAGAAAAAACTACATAGAAAATTAAAAAATAAATTACATTCTCAACAAGATTGAAAATACAATAAAAAATGTCTCTTGTTGTTTTTCTAGGAGAAATATGTCCAATGGAAAACATAAATAACAGAAATTTAAAATAAAGGATTGTTATGAATGTCATAAATTTATTAGTTTTTAATTTTTCGTCTTGTTCCAGGATTTCCCAACTATTATGAAAATTACTTGAAAATCAAAAAAACGAGGTTTTTTTTTCGAAAAAGTTCTTTACATAAATACAAAAAAAAAAAACATATTGCTGTAATTATATAGTAAAGCCAATAGTTCCCTTACTATGCTCCGAATCTAAAATAAATAATATTTTTTTTTTTTTTCATTTGACATTTAAATAGTTTATTTAATTTTTGTGAACTATTATAATAGTATTACCTATTATTTTCTACCTATTATTTATATATTTATATAAATATATAGTAGATTATTTATTAAACAATGATTATGTCGATTTACTGTTCTGATTAAAGTTTTATCGCGTCTAAAACATCCAGATCTATAAATACTTTTTTAAGACACAGCTGCCATCAAATGTAACTTTATATTGTTTTATCATTATAGGCGTAAAAGTCTGGTGTTAATAAACTGTATGCTATATAGTATACAGTATATACTTACGGTTTTATGTTGAAATTAACGGTTTAGTGAAGGTAAAAATATACCTACAAAAATTAATACGAGTATATGAATTTAGTATTTTAATAATAACCAAATTATTATTTTATTCGAAAAACGTAATGATATAGGAATACTAACACATCATCGACGTTACGCTACGCATATCTAGAATCTATGGAAAAAACAATATAAAAATCCAAAAAAAAAACGACGTGGACACTTGTTATCTTATTTATAATGCCATTAAAAACTTAAGATTGGACAAAATTGAATTACTGTATATAAAGTATATGATATAGTGAAGTCATTATCCAATGACTAATTGGAATGAGTAATTTCTAATCACTCGGTCTTGAGGGGGGGGACAATTTGTACAAATGGAACTGAAGAGGGTGGTTATGAACTTATTAGCCAAGGGTTATTTTCAGATGGGATGTGTAGGGTTTAGAAAAAAAACGTCATCACAAGTTAAATATTGTCTTAAATTTAAACAATATAATGGGTGCATAGTTTTAGGTATAAATAACAAACAAATTATACAATTTATAATAACAAATCTACTTTTCTTGGCTTCAGATCCATTTTATTCATTACGTATTTTGGACATATCGGTACATTAATACGGACTACCAGCATAGGCAATCTATTATAACGATTAAGTTATTATATATGTATAATGTTTGTATAATATCCTTATTTTAGATTCTGGGCTTACCAAGTAATTGGTTTTATAATGATGTTTATTATTTTTAAATTCTGAGCAGAACGAGGCAGTGGCATCATGAATAGGGTTAAATTGACGCAGCACGAAAAAAAAAGAGTAAGTTGGTAGGTGGGTGTTGAATGTTTATGGTTGATACTACTAAATACAAGAGACTTATTTATATTAATTAAATAATACTTTACTTTTTATATTTTGTGTTGATAAAGAAAGAGAGGGAACGGGTGTTGAACAATTTTACTGCGTCATTGAAATAATAAGTTGACGCCATCATCGGAGCGAGAAATGTATTAGTTTTACTATATGATTTTTATTATTTTATTTTTAATCTGTAAACAACTTTTTTACCTGCAATTTCGATTCGATTTACAAACTTTTTCCTTAGTAATGGTTAATGGTTAAAAATTTAAAAATGTGAGCAAGTCTTCTGATAGAAAAGCTGCACACAGTTAAAAAAAAAAAAACATTTAATTATAGACACAGAATTCTAGAATAAGACGCGATTATTTAATTTACAAATTTTATTAGGTATACGACA